TTGAGCCACAGGCTCCGAGCCAGTTACTGTATTTCTTAAAGAACCAAGAAATTCTTTAATATTAAATATTGCAGCATAAGATTATTGCCCTAGGATAGAATTGGGATGATGTGTACTAGAAAAAACCCAGATGGCCTTAGGTTCGAATCCTGGCTGTACTCCTCATGAGTAGCCATGTGATTTGATCAATGCAGGTAAACACCCTGAGGCTCAGCTTTCCCATTGGTAAGTCAAAGACAATGCTATTGGCTAATGAAACAGTTTAAATCAAATTAAAAGTAAGCTTTTTTTTTTTTTCCTGAGACTGAATCTCACTCTGTTGCCCCAGGTTAGAGTGCCAAGGCATCAGCTTAGCTCACAGCAACTTCAAATTCCTGGGCTCAAGTGCTCCTCCTGCCTCAGCCTCCCAAGTAGCTGAAACTACAGGTACCTGCCACAATGCCTGGCTAAGTTTTCTATATTTAGTAGAAACAGGATCTTGCTCTTGTTCAAGCTGGTCTTCAACTCCTGAGCTCAAGTGATCCTCCCACCCTGGCCTCCCAAAGTGCTAGGATTAATAGGTGTGAGCCACCACTCCAGCCCACAAAGAAAAATTTTATTTTATTTTATTTATTTATTTTTTTGAGACAGAGTCTCACTCTGTTGCCCTGCATAGAGTGCTGTGACATCATCATAGCTCACGGTAATCTCAAACACCTGAGCTCAAATGATCTTCCTGACTCAGCCTCCTGAGTAGCTGGTATACAGGCACCTGCCATAATGCCCAGCTAATTTTTTTCAATTTTTAGTAGACACAGAGTCTCACTCTTGTTCAGGCTGGTTTTGAACTCCCAAGCTCAAGCAATCTGCCCACCTTGGCCTCCCAGAGTGCTAGGATTAGAGTCACCAGTCCCTTCACCCAGCCCCAAGTAAGATTTTACAAAAAAGGAATGATTTAATGAATCTTTAAATACTGATCAGCTTCAACAATTATCAACTCATGGCTAGTCTTTCCCTCTCCACATCTCCTACCCCCGACTCCCTTCTTTGTATTATAAGGTATCCAAAAGCTGTCCATAAAGTCTCCATACATAGGGAAAATGGGAAATTATAGCTAAATGTACCTTTACCTATAAAGTAGTCATTACAAACTTTTATAAAATACAGTATTTACAAAATGTTGTCTATGTGCTGGCCACCTCTTTGTAAAAGACAAAAGGACACCCTAAATATAGATTTTGTTTATTGCCTGTGTTAGAGTGCAGGGCTGTCATCATTGCTCACTGCAACCTCCAACTCCTGGGCTCAAGTGACCCTCCTGCTTCAGCCTCCCAAGTAGTTGGGACTACAGAAGTGTGCCACCATTCCCAGCTAATTTTTCTATTTTTGTAAAGATAGAGTATTGCATGTTGCCCAGGCTGGTCTCAAAGTCCTAGCCTCAAGCTATCCTCCCACCTCAACCTCCCAAAGAGCTAGAACTATAGGCATGAGCCATTATGCCCGGCTTTCATACTATTTTGAAGAAAATCCCAAATATATTATTTCATATGCAAATATTTTAATTTTTTTGAGACAGAGTCTTACTTTGTCACCCTGGGTAGAGTGCATGGTGTCATAGCTCACGGCAACCTCAAACTCTTGGGCTCAAGTGATTCTCTTACCTCAGCCTCCCAAATAGCTGGGACTACAGGTGCTCGCCACAATGGCCAGCTACTTTTAGAGATGAGGTCTGATTCTGGCTCAGGCTGGTCTCAAACTCCTAAGCTCAAGCAATCCATCCATCTTGGCCTCCCACAGTGCTGGGATTACAAGTGTGAGCCACCGTGCCTGGCCATGTGCAAATATTTTAGTATAAATCTCCAAATATAATGTAAGAATTCTTTAAGCCACACAATCATATCATTATCTCATCTGAATAAAATGAATAACTTGCTATCATTAAATATCCAGAAGGTGTTTAAATTTCCAAATATTTCAAATGTTTTTTAAAAAAAACTTTATTTTTATTTTTATTTATTTTTTGAGACAGAGTCTCACTATGTCACCCTTGGTAGAGTGATATGGTGTCACAGCTCACAGCAACCTCCAACTGTTGAGCTTAAGTGATTCTCTTACCTCAGCCTCCCAAGTACTTGGGACTATAGGTGCCCACCACAATGCCTGCTTATTTTTTTGTTGCAGTTGTCATTGTTGTTTTAGCTGGCCCAGGCTGGGTTCGAACCTGCCAGCTTTGGTGTATGTGGCTG